AATAATAATAATAATAATAATAATAATAATAATAATAAAAATAAACAACGGGATACACATTGACTGCATTACGCTGGAGAGAAGATTTCAAAAAGAAAACATACACAACACTCCCCAAATAATAAAACACAATCGCACGTTCATCCCAATACTTTTGCACTCACAACTTTGCCCCACCCAAAAGAGGGACAAGTTTCTTCTCAATTTCACTAACTGAGGCTCCAGGAGAAAACCGCTCCACAGGTACTCCATTCTTATCCACAAGAAAAGAAGTAAAATTCCACTTAATAGCCTCGGTACCCAAAAGACCTGGTTTCGCTTTCTTTAAATACTCATATAATGGATGTGCCTTCTCACCATTTACATCAATCTTCGCCATGATTGGGAAATCTGCCTTAAACCGTGTACAGGCGAACTCCTTCACTTCCTGTGCTGAACCAGGCTCCTGTCCACCAAACTGATTACATGGGAAAGCCAATACAGTGAACCCCTTATCTTTATACTTATTATAGAGAGTTGTCGCCGTCTCGTAACCACCCTTTGTGTATCCACACCTGCTGGCCACATTGTATATTAACAGTGGATGTCCCTTGTGTTGAGAGAGATTGTACAGCCGATGGTCAGCGTCCAGCACCTGAAAATCATAAATGGTGCGCCCGGCAACCAAACGAATGCGAGTGTTTCGCAACATTCACAAACACTAAACCAAATATAAAGAAAGAAAGAGAGAGAGAGAGAGAGAAAAAAAAAGACCACAAAAAATAAGGATTGAGCATATTGAAAAGAGATCACCTCACTGAATACAACTGGCAATACACTCACACCAAAGAAAGAAAAAAAAGACCACAACACACACATACAAGTGCCTTCTATTACTCATAGACTGAATAATGAAAACAATAATAATAATAATAAAAATAAACAACAGGATACGCATTGACTGCATTACACTGGAGAGAAGATTTCAAAAAGAAAACACACACACACACCACTCCCCAAATGTTTTAACAAAGTCCCACGTCGCTCATAACGCAATTATTAAGTGTTAAATATACTATGCCTCCAGAAGAGGGGTAAGTTTCTTCTCAATTTCTTCAACTGAAGCTCCAGGAGAAAACCGCTCCACAGGTACTCCATTCTTATCAATAAGAAAAGAAGTAAAATTCCACTTAATAGCCTTTGTACCAAGAATACCGGGTTTTTCCTTCTTTAAATACTCATATAATGGATGTGCCTTCTCACCATTCACGTTAATCTTCGCCATGATTGGGAAATCTGCCTTAAACCGTGTACAGGCGAACTCCTTCACTTCCTGTGCTGAACCAGGCTCCTGTCCACCAAACTGATTACATGGGAAAGCCAATACAGTGAACCCCTTATCTTTATACTTATTATAGAGAGTTGTCGCTGTCTTGTAGTTGCCCGCCGCTAAATTAGAGTGGTTGTCCACATTGTATATTAACAGTGGATGTCCCTTGTGTTGAGAGAGATTGTACGGCTTTCCATCCGCAGCTTTTACCTGAAAATCGTAAATAGTTGGCATGATGCAAATTTGATCTTATTTCTCTTTTGGAAACACTACAGCAAAGAGAGAAAAAAAGACCACAACACACACAGACACACACATACAAGTGCCTTCTATTACTCATAGACTGAATAATGAAAACAATAATAATAATAATAATAATAATAATAATAATAATAANTAGAGAGTTGTCGCCGTCTCGTAGCCACCCTTTGTGTATCCACACTTGCTGGCCACATTGTATATTAACAGTGGATGTCCCTTGTGTTGAGAGAGGTCGTACGGTTTCTCATCAGCTCCGTTCACCTGAAAATCGTAAATGCTCGTCATGATGCGCTTTGATTTTTTTGTTTCTCCTTTAGAATCACTAAAGCAAAGAGAAAAACTAAATAAATAGAGAGGTGAAGAAAAAAAAAAAAGAATCGTACATCATTATGCTCCCATTCATTATCAGTGGCAGATAGTGCCGTGCTCGATTGGATCTTTTTTTTTTTTTTTTGGTTTTGGTTTACTGTTATTGTTGTTCATATTGTTAAAGAAAAAAAAATAATAATAATAATAATAATAATATAAAATAAAAGTCATATATTACAAGAAAAAAATAAAATAATAATAATAATAATAATAATAATAATAATAATAATAATAATAAATACGAGGGAGGTAGAGATAGCAGTTTTAATTCTCACTTTATTATCCCAAATCCTCCACAAACATAGGGAGTGGGATCTCAAACCATCGATACTCACCTACACGGCAGTACACCACATTATGCAGAAGCCGAGCAGTATTCTCTAATGGTATATGTGTAAACAGTGAAGAGATGGATTGTAATAATATTAACAAAACATCTTGCAATAAATGACGCACCTTCGCCGTATTCCCCCAGCAGGTTTCTTCATTATTATTAATGTGATCTATTCTACGATGGCAAGTTATACCATAGGGGTAAAAGAAACACGAGACGTTTTTCCCAGATTCACATTCCATTAAGGAAGAATGTGAATGCGGTGATGTAGAGAAAATATATTGAACCCGCTGTATAAAGGCATTATTTCCAATACATATCAACACATCATTCTTACACTGAAAGCGTGCTAATGTCCATGAGGAATCATTACTAAAAAATGTCAGTGGATTGTGAACTTCTCGTGCCCATTGAGCCACATGTTCCGCTTGCGTATACGGGATTAATGGCGGTAGAGGTAATGTATAAAGTGGACGAGTGAGTGATTCCGGCAAGGCTTCCATTAAGAGTAGTTTTTCCAGAGAATATGTAATATCAAAAAAGTGTTCTTTTTCATTTGGTGAGTGTAGTAGAAATAGTATTTGACGTTTACAACAACTAAGCAGTCGGTTCAGCCGTTCAATATCTCTATTATTCTCTTCCATAGACACAAGTTGATCCTCCTTTTCTTTTTCTTTTTCTTCTTCTTTCTCTTCAGAAGAAGAAGAAGAAGAAAAGTGAAATAAGTCATATTTACTCACGTTAGAAAATCTTCTTGCCTCTCGAATCATGGAAGAGAGAGCAGATGAATCTTCATACAGACTTCTATTATTCTTCCCATAAGGAGTATATGTTAATTTATCATTAGAGCCTACACTATCTTTGTTTTTTAGAGAATTATATATGGGATCAGGTGATATTTGAGGTTTCTCATACCCCACAACAATAGGAGGAGATGGTAGTAACACTGGTATATCCTCTTCTGCTTCCCTCACGAGAGAAAATTCCGTGTTGTCGTTATTACTATTATTATTATCATTATCACTATTAATAATAAACTTCTTCCCAGATCTTTCATAGTAATGGGAGTACGCCTCTTCCTCTTCTTCTTTTCTTTTCTTCTTTCCTCCTAGTGTGTTATCCATTGAAGGGCGATTTACTTCCAATGATCGTCCCTGTTGAGATTGCACTATATCCAATGCACCTTTTCCACAAGAGGGAAAAACTACCACGTGATCCTTTACTTCTGCTGAATTGTGTGTATTGATATCGTGTCCAACTCCCAACAACGGTATATCTGAGAAGCCGGAATTCATATGAATGTACTGAATCTCATTATCTTCATCTTTCTCATCATCATCATCATCATAATCCTCTTCTTCTTCTTCTTCATTAATATTATCATCATTATCACCAACAGTAAGAAAGAAAAGGGATGGATTTCCATGTATTTTTCTTAAAGGGTATGAACACTGTAGTCTACGAGTAAGATCACAGTGTTGTAAAAGCGTATGTAATCCCTCTTGTGTATTGGCAATATGAACAACATCTACAAAGATAGAGGACCGCTGCTCCACAATAACTGCGATCACCTTCTCTAATGATAAAGCCGAGGGTGTGGATTGATGATCTCTCAACACAAGATCATGTTCATTGTGAATACAACATACCATAGCTGTTCCATCTGGGTGTCGCAACAGTAATTTTATACCCATAATAGATGAGAGTGGAATAGATCGATAGATACAAGTTGAGGTTTCATCACATACAAAGAGTGTACTTTCAGTTATAGCGATTAATTGCATTTTCCATACAAGTCTGGAGGTGAGTCGCAGTACATGACGTGCTAAAAGTGTGGCATTTGACTGAACACATTGCGAGTCCTTTCCCAATGGTTTATTACTATCATTATTATTATTATTATTATTATTATTATTATTATTATTATTATTATCCAAACTCACTGAAGATTCCAAAGTAAAAGAAGTTTTGCTATCCATCTCAAGATGGTTATCATCCCGATGACTAAGTGTACCATCATTATCCTTCTTATCGCTATCATTAAGATTTACAGAACTATCTTCTTCTAATAATAAACTCAATTGATCAGAGTTTACGGTGTGGGATTCATTTCTCTCAACTGGTAAAGTTTCCATATTTTTAATATGAGGTGATAACTTCATTATTACAGGAATACTTATTCCATCTCGTCCTAATAACATAAAAATAACATCTCCTAATCTCTCTTGCGGTGGGGGATGTCTTTTTGTATGTGATAAGGATAAATTATGAGGAGAAATATTAACGACAAGAGTGATTTGCTTAACCATATCTTCATCCTCATGTGGAAAGGTGTCAGCCTTATTAGATACGGTAACATCTATTGCGGGTGAAGGATAATTTAACTTTTTATACTTTATTCCCGAACGTTCTTCAAAAATAAATTTCACCTCATTAGAGAATATATTATTATTATTATTATTATTATTATTATTATTATTATTATTATTATTATTGTTATCATCACATGATGTAGATAATATATTCTCACGATTATTGGAGTTTGGAAAATCCAATTCCATCCTAGCCAGACTGTAGAGAGAGTTGATAAAAAATATCTCTTGATCTTCTTTCGTCTCTTTTTCCTCTTTAACTTCCATAATAATAAGATTATGATGGGTAAGTAAAAGGAATTGTCTTTTGGAAAGATCCTTATCTACACAAGTATGGTTATTAACCACATCTATAGATGAACACGGAGATACCTTCACTATATTCACAGATACCACTTCCACTTCCACTATGAAAAACACCGGAATAATACCTAATAACGATTTAAAGGATTCCACAATAGACTTCACGGGTGATGAGAATGTGCATGAGTCTCCTAACAAATCCACATATGAAGAGAACGGAAGAATAGAATTAATCCAGCTGGAAAAAGTTACCGTTGGTGTATTCACAAGAGTCTGATGAGGTCTTTCTAATACAGATGACTGGGATGGGTCTTGTTGTGATTCTCTAGTAAAGTTTATAGAATCCATTCTAGATTTTAATCCTCCTCCTTTTCCTTTTTCTTCTTGTTCTTTTTCGCTAATGGTTGTTATTGATCCATACTCTCTTAATGTACGTTGTCTAATTTCTAGACGTGATTGTATAGTGGTGTAACCCTGAAAAAGAGGAAATAACTGTATTATGTTTTTCTTTGATAATTGTGGATGTAAAGGTCTATCCATCTCATCACAGTGAGAGATTAGAAGTGGAGACATACTGAGAGTTGTACGTAATGTAATGATATGATCTACAATATCTGTTATTAATGTCTGTGTCTCATCTTTACAATGATTCTTCATAGTATCTGTATTAGTCGTGTTTGTATGAGTATGAACAGTGATGTTTTTCCATAAGAGAACATCATGTTCTCGTTTGACTCTCATGTATAATACCGTACCATGAGCATAGGTAGTAATGGTGTCTACTGCGAAGAGTGGAATAAACCGTTTCACTACACAATTTAACAAAGCCTGAGAACTCTCCTTATTTATATCATTCCGAGTTTCATTACCCAAAGGTAAAGGTGAAAGAAATAAGAGTCCCTCTTCATTCACGAGCAATAAACGAGCTTTAGTGGTATTTGTACTACCAAGCTTTACGACATTCACTACTAAACTATGGGAGGAGTTCATTTAAGGTCTATATATATATATGATACTGTTGATATTATTAAATAAATATATAAAAATATTTATTTATATATTTTTCTCTCACTTATGTAATGAGTACTGGGGGAAAATAACTACACTCATTTCTCCAGATATAGAAGAAAAGAAAAAAAAAACGAAAACGAGAATAAAAAGAAGTTTTCTGAGACAGCACACAATTGTGTACATTTTAAAACGATATGTGAGAAGAGGAAAATATATTCATATATACATATATA